ACCCCTATGTTATGATAAATTCTGCTAACTTACTAGGAAGTAAGCTGTGTATGTTCAATGACTGTCTCATTGTCCGCTGTGAAATATTCACTTAAAACAAGCCACTCAATAAATATTTTAAATTTATTAAATAAATACAAGAGTTTTCTATCTCAGATGCTCTTGAATAACAGGTACAACTTTATTTGTATTAAGAAAGATAAATTTAAGGAAAAAAATAGAAATAAAATGGTGATTTGGATTGCGCCAATGCTATGCTGAAGTGAGTATTTTCTGATTATGAAGCTTAATTAATACAACTATTTGTTATTTTTGGTTAATATTCTAATTACACAAACCTCACCCTAAGCCAAAAACCAAATAACCATGCTTTGTTCCATTATGCTACATTTCAATTTTATTATATTATTTGTTTTGAGATAGAGTCTCACTCAGTCACCCAGGCTGTGCAGTGGCATGATCTCGGGTCATTGCAACCTCCACCTCCCAGGTTCAAGCAATCCTCCCGCCTCACCCACCCGAGCAGCTGGGAGTACAAGTATGCACCATCATGCATGGTTAATTTTTGTGTTTTTAATAAAGACAGGTTTTCATCATGTTAGCCAGGCTAGTCTTGAACTATTGACCTGACCTCAGATGATCTGCCTGCTTCAGCCTCCCAAAATGCTAGGATTAAGGTGTGAGCCACAATGCCCAGCCCCACTATACCACATTTTTAAATAATGAAAACTGCAAACAAAACAGCTTGGATTTGAGGGCATTTTAAACATAATTAAATGAATGCATAAATTTAAAACAAGATGAATTTATGGAAAGAATAGCTAACAGTTATTGAATGCTTACTATGTGGAAACTGTTACTATTAATTATCAAAACAACTTTTTGGTAGGAACTATATTATTACCATTCTACAGATAAACAAATGAGGAGCTGAGAAATTAAAATTACTAGCTCAAGGTCACAAATCAAGTAAGAGACAGAGCTAGAAATTTATAAGACAATCTTGCTCCAAGATTTATGCTCACTGGATAGCATATAATTTCCCAAGAAGATTACAGATCAGTTTGTACTGAATTATTTTTCTCCCACCCAGAAAATGAAGTAACACAATCCTGATGCCCTATTTCAAATGTCAGTGGATTTGAAAAATATATTCAAATACATGATGTTTTAAATGAAATCTCAAGTCATGAATTTTGGATGGTTTGTTATATACAGTACACACACACACACACACACACACACTATATACACACTCGGAAACAGCATGGAGATAAAGTTTTAGGTTTCTGAGATTTATGAGTTCTATATTTACTAACAACAAACAATTACATCTTAACCCACAAGTCTTTCCTTAACATCAGTTTCCCTTTTACGCATGTAAATGCATAAATTCATCACAATATGGTCAAGTTCTAGGCTCTATTGTGCCTTATTAATTTTACAGAAGAAGAGAGAATTATCACAGAAAATATTAACTCCTTAGTGATGGAAGTTAACATCAAAAGCCTACAATATAAAAGAAAAAAAAAAAACAGTATAAAATCCCAGTGTGGTTCAATGCTACAACAATGCATTTTTGTTCTGTTTCAAAACACACGGAGTTTCATCTACCATTGTAAAACTGATGTCTTAATAGTACATCTAAGATTATGCATTTGGAGGATTTGGCAGTGTTTTATGAATCTTCTCTCTCAGTTTAGTGAACTATATATTATCTATTTGAATTCAGGGCCATTAAATTCTTGCAAAGTGTTTATTGCACTATACATATTATTGGTCCTGTCACTGAACAGTGCCCTCTTTCTGTTTTATAGCTAATGTAGCATTTCTCCATGACATCAATAGATTAAAACATTTACTACCAGAAAAATTATGTGAAAATGGAGCAAACTCATTTTGCTACAAGCTAACTCAATAAATCTGTCCAGTTTACTGATGTTCACTTTCCTTTAAAATCAGTACATATTTATCTTACAAACTTCAAGAAGGCAGAAGAGAGAGGTTAATTTTCTTTTTCTTTCTTTTTTTTTTTTTTTCTACTCCTGGCAGCAATGCTACATTGTTAATGTTAATAAATGGCAGTTGGATAGAACCAGATCTATATTTCTGATATGTACTTGGGAAAATTTAGAAAAGGGTCAACGAGGAATGTATTTACATTTTAAAATGTTCTATCCATTGTTACTGGAGCTACACAACTTTTTCAATAACAGAAGAAGGCAGTACAGCTAAAGTTAATTGGTTTAATTTTATGATGTTAACTTGATGTCTTTCTTAAATTTATCACCAAAAAGTAAGTCATTAGCAAATCTAATTTGCTTCCATTTGAGCAAATAAAAATAAAATATAGGCAAATTTAGTCCTGTATTTTTAAGCTGATAATTGAGGAATAAACAAAATGGTAAAAATAGTACTTTTCCTGACAGTATTGTCAAGGAAAGGATATTTTTACTTTAAAGTTAAACAAACTCTTCATTTTCCAATTCCTTCCCTGTCACAGAAGATGATTATGAAAACGGCTTATACGGCCAGGTGTGGTGGTTTACACCTGTAATACCAGCACTTTGGGAGGCCGAGGCAGGTAGATCATGAGGTCAGGAGTTCAAGACCAGCCTGACCAACATGGTGAAACCCCATCTCTACTAAAAATACAAAATTAGCCAGGTGTGGTGGCAGGTGCCTGTAATCCCAGCTACTCAGAAGGCTGAAGCAGGAGAATCACTTGAAACCAGGAGGCGGAGGTTGCAGTGAGCCAAGATTGTGCCACTGCACTCCACTCTGGGTGACAGAGTGAGACTCTGTCTCAAAAAAAAAAAGAAAAAAAAGTAAAAATATAAAAAAAATATAGAAAGAAAATGGATTATATAACTGCTTTTCTAGAGCCACGGTGACCAGTTGGCCAAGGATGCAATGCTTAGAACAGATGCTCACAGGTAATACAACCTCATCTCTCCAAGCTCCACATGACAACAACTTTGTCCTTGGTTATGTCGATACAATGAAAAAATAATAATAAATGTTATTAAACCAGGCAATACCATAGCTATAAAAAAGTTATGCAACATCATTTTTGTAAACTACCACAAGTGCAAAATATCTCTGATTACATATACGCTAGAATTTTTATTATGATACATTTGATCTTATTTCTGAAAAGCTATGTGTGAATAAATGTCTTCTTTCATTTATATATACTATTTTCTTGCACATATGTTAATACTTTCCTTTTACATAAGAAAAATCAAGTTGCTTATAGAGCCACTCTTCTTTAATTAGCTCTTTTGGAATTAAATATGATTCTCCTATATCAGCACCCCAGCACACATCACTTACCATTGAATACTGCCTTTAACAATTTTCTATACATTTATCTTACAATGAATGAAATGCAACCTCCACTATGACGTTTGCAGTCTGCTTTTAAAATATAAGTCTTAGGAAGAAAGTTTTATAGAAATCTGTCACTTTGATCTGTGAGTAAGACATCTTCAATTACAGTGTTTACAAGAACTTCAATAATCAGTGAAATGCCAGAAAGCAGCAGATTTTGTATAATATTGGCCAATTGTTTCAAATATGTAAGTCTTACTTGACCAACAATATTACAGCTGCTTTTTAAGAAGGTAGATAATATGCTAAATGTTAAAAAAGTGGTAAGATAATTAACATTTTATCAAATCAGATTTATAAATGGTTATATAATATTTTTGTAATACTAAATAAATAATATTTGCTAAATACTTATTGATTGATGATGCCTACAAATGTTTTGAGTTACTCAAACATAGTATGTTCAGATATTACTATGTGGCATAGCATTCTAGTTTGGGATCCCCTAAAAAGCTGAGCCCAAGACAAGAACTTTGATGCAGGTAGTTTACTGGGGGGTAGGGGGGTGAACCCAGGAAATACGAGTAAAGGAAAGGAGATACAGACAAAGAGGAAATGCCAAAAATATGTGGTATTGTTGCAGTTGTTGCTGTTGGTAAGAAGAACCAAATTATCTCAAGATCCCTGAGAAATACAGACTGCCACCCAGAATTGTACAACTGAAATTGGAAGCTGGAAAAATCTGCATGAGCTCCTCCTCCCCAGTGCTTGAGGACAATCTTCACCAGTATGACATCCACCACACACAAGCAGATGGCTGGGGTGCCCACGAAGCAAGCCACTGGCATTGAGGAAAGTCTTAGGGAAGAATGCTTAAAGACAAATAGAAGGTATTTGAGGTGGGAATTGGGTACCTGAGGTAGGCCTGAGTGCCCACAATAGTTCATCTCAGGTTGGCTGAAATCAGAATTGGACCAAGGGGATGCAACATGTGTGCAGAGGTATCTACTAAATGTGTGTGTGTGTGTGTGTGTGTGTGTGTGTGTGTGTGTACTCAAGCACACATGAACAAAACAGTACATTGACCATAATATTTAACCCTGATTCTATCATAATATCATTTTATATTTACTTAGCAGTCACTTCAATTTTGTTACTGCAAAATATATTTTTAATCTTGTGTGCATGTGTGTATGTTACATGGCAGCTTTTCTTCACTCGTTCTCCCACAACAAAAAGCCTTTTTTTTTTTTTTTTTTTTTTTTTTTTTACTGCTACATTACTAGCTTATTTTTGTAACTTTCTTTCCAGTTACATGCAGCTGAGAGTGAAAAGTTCAGAAAAGAATTGTAGTGAGAGGTCGAACATTTACACATTCCATAGAACACATTCTGCAGGCATAAAAAAGGGGAAAAAATAGAACTTGTTGTGGGTGATTCTGTCTATTCTCTTGTCAATCCTGGGAATGGAGAAAGATAAATCACCTACCCCATGAATCCTGAGTTCACAAATAGCTTAGACACACCTGATGATTGGCACTTGGGCAGAAGTAATAATTCTTTTCTCCTACTTCATTTAATGAGATGATAACATTTATTTGAAGTTAGCCTTTGAATAGCTTTTCCTATTGTGATGAGAGAAAATGTGTTTAGATAGACCTCTATCATAAGAAATTATTAACTAAAATACTTTCTATGTGAAAAACCATTGCTCATTTTTTGGACTCTTATTTCTTAGTCTTTTAAAATACACCTTAGAAAGGAACTTTGAAAAGTCATCTTTAATTCAGTATTATGTAAAGGGGCCCAGACTACTTGAATAAAAAGTATAAAAGAGACAGAGAATGCTTGGAATTTCAATTCACATACTTTCATTTACTGACTTACATATACAAAAGTAAGCCCTTGCAATGTTTAAGATTTTGAGAGAATATAATAGACCTAGAATTAGATCAAGGTCAATTAATTTAACACAGTAAATTAGCAAGGAACTTGAAATATTTATAAGCAATTTACAGGCAACAGAATGTATGCTTTGGTGAACACTAGGCAAACAATAAATACTTGCTGATTCATCAACTTAATGAACTTAATGATGAGTTAATAAGAGCTAATTTCTAGTTGGATAAAGAACATACAGGAAAAAAATGAGTATACTCAGTCCTTGTCTCGCAAGCATAACTGGCTCCAAAATGTCTTCTCATTGGAGGAAATGTGCACCAGATATCATCACTAACTGGTACAATTAATATAAAAATGCAGGCTATGTTTATTAATGTTAAAAAAAGGCTCCAGAGTCAATCTAGTAATATAGTAACTGGCATTCATATTTACATAATTAAATAATTATACAGTTTTATCATTACATATTTATGTAATTACTTTTTAATGCACAGAATTCATTGCAGCAGCTGCAATATCAGACCTCATCATTTTCCAAGTATCTGAGTATTGTGCCACTCAGATCTTCATGTTTAACTGACAGACAGTCTGAAAAGCATGTAGTAGTCATTTTTGTCAATGGGGTCAATTTTAAATTTTAAACAATACATTTCAATGCAGAAACACAGAACATAAATGTATACAGAGAAAGGTATATCAAGAGACAAAAGGAACTAAAACCAGTGATGAATAAATAAGACAGCAGTGGCTTCATGCAAATGGAAGCCATCTTTTGAATTTAAACAGTGGCCAATGTATGTTCACATAGTGGTATGACTTATACATGGACCATAAGTCAAAATTTGAGGGGATTGAGATACATGGTAGTGAATATATGATACCACTATGTGAACATGTGTTGGCCACATATTTAAATTCAAAAGATGGCTTCCATCTGCATGAAGCCACTGCTGTCTTATTTATTTAATATTTAATAATCACGCAATTTAATTTTTACATTCCATTCAATTAAGTGAATGGAGTTCAAATTCTATAAATACTTGTACTGAGCACTTTACATACAATTTCTCATTTATTCATCTTATAATATCTTCATGTTATGGATAAGAGATCTGAGGCTAAATGAACTGAATTGTCTATGAGTAGGATTTCAATTCACATTTGTAGATTCCAAACCTTCCCTTTTTTCTTTCTTTTTTTTCTTTTTTGTCTAAGACAAGGTCTTGTTTTCTCACTGAGGCTGGAGTCAATGTGGCAAAATCATAGCTCACTGCAGCCTCAACCTTCCAGGCGTAAGCAATCCTCTTGCCTCAGCCTCCCAACTAGCTGGAACTATAAGTGTGTACTACTGCACCTGGCTAATTTTTTAATTTTATAGAGACAGGGTCTCAATATATTGCCTAGGCTGGTCTCGAATTTCTGGGCTCAAGTGATCCTCTCATGTTAGCCTCCCAAAGTGCTAGGATTATAGGCGTGAGCCACCACACCTGGCTTAAAACCTTGTTTCTAACCAAAATGCTGTACTGTTGTTTGTGAATGTAACACGGTATGAAATGAAATGCAAAAGTGAAATACAATTTTTGTTGCAATGATTCTTAAAACTCTCAAACATGTTTTTCCCTGATAATGTTTAAAGCTAGTGGTACTCTAACTGACTTACTGAAAATAGCATCTATTCTGTTAAATTAAGTTTGGCCCAAAGCTGCTCCTGTACATATTTTATGTCTGACCTCAAGTTTTCTCCATATATATTGAACTGCAATCTCACTTGATGTGTAGACTGTAACCTGGTCTCATAACAAGCAGTGAAGTCGCTGCCAACCACAGGCAGCCAACCGTTCAAAGCAGGCTCAAATAAGTCACACACTTAGCTGTAATTGATCCAGTTGTGTTTGTACTGCACTTTTGTTTTCTGTATGGCCCTTTCCATTTTTTTTGTCCATAAATGTTATCAGCCATGTGGCAGCCCCAAAGTTGCTTTGAATCTATTCTGGTACCGGGAGCTGTCCAATTTGCAAATCATTCTTTGCTCAATTAAACACTGTTAGATTTAATGTGCCTCAAGTTTTTCTTTTAACAGTTCTACAATCATACTATTTTATATATAAAAAGACTATGAAGCATATGTTTTAAGATAGCACTGTTAGGTTTGTACGGTCCCCTGCTGCCAACTGGATCCTAACTTCAGTAAAAAAAAGGACAGAAAGTAACACTAGCAATCACTGCATACTTTTTATGTGCAAGATTTCCACATTGCAAACTAAATATCATTTATAACTAGTGAAGTGAAATAACACTGTCCTCCTAAAATAGTAACAGGCAAATACTCTTTGGTCACATTGTCTGTGAATGTTGATAGTGGTCCTACAAAATGTCTTTTATGAGAACAGCAATCCCTGATATTAGAGTAAGTTGTGCTCCAAAATGATGTTTCTAATTAGGTCTTGATATCTTGGGATTGGTCCTCCCTTACGCACCATGTTCACCTGTTGGTAACTTTCGTGGACAGACTCCCAAAATCGACATGATTTATAATGTACTACAAATCCTTCACAAATGTGTCATCTAATTTTGATCAACCTGGCACATTTATTAATACAACTGAGAAGTACAATGTCTGCTGGATGGAATGTTAAATTAAGTGAGTAGAGTTATGTCATAGCATGTGAGATATCACTTGAATACAGCCTATGTCAAAACAAAAAACAATAAACAAAAAAACACAAATCAATAATATTCATTTGAAGTGTATGAACTTTGCTTGACAAGTATATTAGAGTGTTGTCAGATTAGCAAATAATTATATAGGGAATGAAACACACTATGTGAATGTGTAGTTCCACACTATTGAATCAAATTTAGTTCATTCAAGAGAAATACCAAGATTCTGATATTTACATGTATTGTAAATACACATGTTTAAGTAAACAAGTTTAGCACCATTTATCTAAACCTTACAAATAATATGCAATACCTTGCTTAGTATAATTCATTCAAAATCCAACTTGAAAATTCAAAAATTCAATAAACTGCTACAGTTCTGTTGGTCTGCCACCTGGGCATAAGAATCTATGGATCCGTTATTCAGGTAAGAGATAATGGCTCTAGTTGGCAGGTACATGGAATCCTGCAAGTAAGGATCTCTTGGAGAATAAAGGGACATTCCAAAGTGAAGTCTCAAAAGGACAGAACCTCCCCCTGCGTAAATTTATGGATGTTTTAAAGTTAGAGATTGGCTCAATGGCCATTCCCCAAGACTGATCCTCATTAGCTTTTTAAAAATGTAAATGCTACTTATTGTTTCTGAACAATAGAGTCAATAATTAAAAAATATATATATAGATAGACACACAGGATTTCACAAAGGACAAAGGCTTTGACTCCAAAACCAGGGAAAAACCTACCATCCAGCCACAGATTTCAGAACTGCATTTAAAGCCATGGTTTAGATATCTGAATAAGATGAAGAACTCACTTCATTTTTAAATGTCCATAAAAGTAGCATCTATCAAACAATTCCAGTTTTAGAAATAATAAGTATGTTTTCTGTTAGCAAAGCTAGATTGACTATAATAAACATACATGCCTCCTTGAGTATTTGTCTAAGAGTAGCATGGCTATATCACGGTAAAAGTCAATGAGACCCACAGCCACTCCAGATGTTAGATGCATTTTTTTCTACTTAAATTTCATTCTATCATGCTGTGTAATCTTCCATGCCAAAATACTAGCTCTCTTAGATACACCAGAATTTGAGTGCAATCATCAATACAGTTTATACTAGCTACTATTGGCAGAATTCAAATTTATCTAGGTAAAAACAGTTTATTCAATAAATATTATATTGTATTTTTTTCGGGAGTTGGGGGGCAGAGTTATTGGCAAGGTTTTTTTTTTGGGGGGGGAGGGGTTGTGAGATCAGGCTTTCAAGTCACATAATTAATTTCAATTTCAATCCCAGCCAATTCTATCAATATTTGACTATGTAAGGATGAGTGAATAATACATAATCTTTCTTTGCTTCAGTTCCCTTTTTAAATGAAAGTATCATAAAGGTCTCTATCTCCTTGGCTTACTGCAATGCTTATAAAAAGCCTGGCACAGAGTAAATGCTTGGAAACTAGCATATTCTTATCGTTATATACAAAATGATTAACATGACTGAAGGATCAAAGGTAAACACAAAAAAAGAAAACACAGTATTCGCTTCCTCAGATTTCATAATTTTGCTAAGGACATGACTTATACTCATGTAATAATTAGGCAATTAAGTGCATGAGCCAATTAGGTAGCATTAAATAAGCAGTAAATTACCAAAACATGTATAAATTAAACTAAAATAAAATTAGCTAAAATAATCAGCTAAATTTAAGAAGTTGATACAATGTAGTAGAAATGGTCAGAAGTGTGTAATAGTAAGATCAGTATAACAAATTAGCAAATTTCCTATGTGTATAATAGGGCTTGAAGTTTAAGAATTGAGCTGGGTACAGTGGCTTACGCCTATAATCCCAGCACTTTGGGAGGCTGAGGCCAGCAGTTCACCAGAGGTCAGGAGTGAAGACCAGCCTGACCAAAATGGTGAGAGCCTGTATCTACTAAAGTATAAAAATTAACCCGGCATGTGCACTCCTGGAGTCCCAACTACTGGGAGGCTGAGGGGGGAGAATCACTTGAACCCGGGAGGCAGAGGTAGCAGTGAGCCAAGATCATGGCCACTGCATTCCAGCCTGGGCGACAGACTGAGACTCCATCTGAAACAAATGAATAAGTAATGAATAAAGTTTAAGAATTGTTAAGAATAGAACACGATACCTTTCAACTTTGATCAATTTTTGTTTTTAACTAAATATATATATATATATATATATATAATATCATGTTTTTCTTTGAATTTTTTATTGTTTTTCTATTCTTGCAAAAAAAAAAAAATCATCCATCTGATCTGTGCAGTAAACCACCATGGCACTCTTTACTTATGTAACAAACCTACACATCCTGCAAATGTACCCCTGAACTTCCAATAAAAGTTGGAAAAATAATAAATTATCCATCTATGGAGCCTGAATTTTCAACATGATTTTAATTTCAAATCAAAACAATTGAAGATCCTGAGACTTTAAATAGCCAGTAGCTAGATTTTTTAAAAGTACCTTTAAAAACAAATTTTAAATATTGAGTAAGAATTAGCAAACCTCTCTCGCTAATATCATAAAAACACAAAAACCAAAAAACTCAGCAACTACAATTTAAAAAGCATTTGCAACTTCAGATTCATGACTTGGATACATGAGTTCACTAGAGTAAGACAATATATAATGCCTCTAAATCCCTCTCCATACCAAAGGACACTTTTTGTTGGCACAGCGGCCCTTTCTCCCAGAGCCAGTATAAACTCACATGAAACTTTCCATGAATAAATATGAAATTATCTGCAATACTAAACAAAAAGGAGATGGCAAGTTTGGAAATAATCCAATAAAGCTCTGCCAAGTGACCCACAAAACCTGAATCTCAGAGGAGAACAGCTGAAATTTGGGTATGGTGAATGTAGCATATTTAAGAAATTTAGTTAAATCACACTTTACACCCACAAAGGATGAGAAAGAATAAAAGCAAGAGAGAGTTACCCATATTGAATTTGAAATGAATACAAGCAGTCACATGGTGAGTTGAGCCCTCCACAACATCTCTAATGGGGTCTTGTTATGCTTGCAAAAGGTATCAGGCACATATGGGTCTATCATCAGGGGGTCTCGGAACAGTGGAAGGCCTTAACATATCATGGAGGCATGCTGGGGTATATTTGAGCACATGAAACGCCAGGGTTTTTCTTTCTTTTACTTATTCTTCTTCATTTGCTTACTCTCCATACACTTACAAACATTTCTAATGTCTGATTTAAAAAAACAAAAAATATTTCTAAGGTCTAGCTAGAAAACTGAACATGTCCACATTTCAGCCACATTAAACTAAAATACCTTTAAAAATCAAGGTCAAACATCTTTAAAATAAATTGAAAAAAAAAAAAGAACTAAGTAGGCATATTAAAAGAAATGGACAAGTTATTTTTAAAGTCAACATTATTACTCTATATTTTACCTTTCTTTCACAATATTAGCACAGGCATATCTCATTTTATTGAGCTTCATTTTATTGTGCTTTGCAGATATTGTATTTTTTGCAAATTGAAGGTTTGTGGCAACCCAGCATGGAACAAGTCAATTGGTGCCATGTTTTTCAACAGCATGTGCTTAATCAGTGTCTGTATATCACATTGTGGTAATTCTTGCGATATTTCCAACTTTTCATATATGTTACAGGGATCGGTGATCACTGATACTTGACGTAACTATTTTAATTGTTTTGGGAACCATGAAGCATGCCCATATACGATGACAAAATTAATGAATGTTTGTGTTTTGACTGTGCCACTGATCAGCTATTTCCTGTCTCTCTGCCTCTCCCCTTCTTTGGGCCTTCCTGATTCCTGAGACACAACAATATTTAAATTATGCCAATTAATAATCCAGCAATGACTTCTAACTATTCAAGTGAAAGGGAGAGTCCAAGCATCTCACTTTAAATCAAAGCTAGAATAATTAAGTTTAGTAAGGAAGCGATGCTGAAAGCTGAAATAGTCCGAAAGTTAGGCTTCTGGTGCAAAATAGCCAACTTGTAAATGCAAAGGAAAACTTATTGAAGGAAATTAAAAGTGCTAATCCATTTTACAGATGAAGATTAAAAAAGCAAAACAGTTTTATTGCTGATATGGAAAATGTTTTAGTGGACTGGATAGAAGATCAAATAAGCCATAATATTCCCTTAAACCAAAGTCTAATCCAGACCCAAGCCCTAACTCTCTGTAATTCTATGAAGGCTGAGAGAAGTGATGATGTAGAAGAAAAATTTGAAACTAGTGAAAGTTGACTCACGGCGTTTTATAAAAAGAAGCTGTCATGTGTCAGTTCACCACATTTCCAACCTAAACTATTTTCTTGTACTCAAAGTTTTTATATTCATCTGTGTATTCCATGTAGACATTTGATTTATGACCAATAAATTTGATTATCCTTTTGACAAAAAAAAAAAAAAAGAAGCTGTCTCCAAAATTTTAAAATGCAAGGTGAAGCACCAAGTGCAGATGTAGAAGCTGCAGTAAGTTATCCAGAAGAACTGGCAAACAAAATTGATGAAGGTGGCTACACTAAACAACAGATTATCATTGTAGCTAGAACAGCCTTTATTGGAAGTAGATACCATCTAACTAGATAGGAGAAAACAATGTCTGGCTTCAAAGCTTCAGTGAACAATATAGTCTCTTATTAGAGGCCAATGCAGATATCAATTTAAGTTGAAGCCAATACTTATGTATCATTCTGAAAATCCCAGGGCCCTTCAGAGTTACACTAAATCTACTCTGCACTCTACCTGTGCTCTATAAATGGAATAATAAAGCCTGGATAACAGCATGGTCTACTGAATATTTTAATCCCTCTTTTGAGACCTACTGCTCAGAAAAAGGCTTCTGTTCAAAATATTACTACTCAGCTGGGCATGGTGGCTCATGCCTGTAATGCTAACACTTTGGGAGGCCATGGTGGGGTGAATTGCCTGAGCTCAGAAGTTTGAGACTAGCCTGGGCAACATGGCAAAACCCTGTCTCTACTAAAAATAAAATAAAATAAAATAATTAGCTGGGCGTGGTGGTACATGCCTGTAATATCAGCTACTTGGGAAGCTGAGGCATGAGAATTGCTTGAACCCAGGAGGTAGAGGTAGCAGTGAGCTGAAATTGTGCCATCACACTCCAGCCTTGCAACAGAGCAAGAATCTGTCTCAAATATATATATATATTTGAGACAGATATTTGAGAACAATATATATATATATATATATATAAGTAACATAGCCTTAAAAAATCAACAGCAAACACATTTAAAATCAATTGAAAAAATAATATGAACTTACTAGGCATATTAGAAGAAATTGATAAGTTGTTATTTATTTTCAAAAATCAAGATTATCCTCTGTATTTTACCTTTCCTTCAGAGTATTAGCACAGACATATTTTATTGAGGTTCATTTTATTGTGCTTTGCAGATATTGCATTTTTTGCAAAGTGAAGGTTTGTGGCAACCCAGCATGGAACAAGTCAATTGGTGCCATGTTTATATTTATTTTTATATATATATATTATACTCAGTGGCACAGTAGTTCATGCCTGTAATCATAGTACTTTGGGAGGACAAGTGCTGGGCGTCATAGCAACCACATATAGTCCTAGCTACTGAGGAGGCTGGGTGGATGGATCACTTGAGCCCGGGGGTGGAGGGAGGGGTGGAGCAGTGGGTGGGGGTGAGGGGGTACAGTACTGAGGCTTCAATGAGCCAAGATTGCACCACTGCATACTAGCCCGGATGACAGAATGAGAACCTGTCTCACAATGTGTGTGTGTGTGTGTGTGTGTGTGTATTTTTTTCAACGATTATATATATGTATATGCAATTTATATAAAATATATCTAATATACATATCTATATATCTAATAGATATCTATATATCTAATATATATCACTCATGCATATCAATGATCCACCCACTACTCATTGAAGAACATACCTGTCTAGCCACTTCAAAGCTCTGATATGAAAATATATAAAAACATTAATATTATTTGCATGCCTGCTGACACAATATTCATTCTGTAGCTCATGGATCAAACAGTAACTTCAATGTTCAAGTCTTATTATTTAAGAAACGTATTTCATAAGGTTATAGCTGTCATAGATAGTGATACCTCTGATGGATCTGGGCAAAGTAAATTGAAAAGCTTCTGGAAAGGATTCACCATTCTAGATGCTATTACAAACATTTGTGATTCATGGGAGGGGATTTAAATCTCAACATTAACAGGAAATGGAAGAAGGTAGTTCAGCTTTCATGGATGACTTTGAAGGGACGAGGACTTCAGTGGAGTAAGTAAGTGCAGATATTGTGCAAATAGCAAGAGAACTAGAATTAAAAATGGAGTCTGGAGACGTGACTGAATTGCTGCAATTTCCTGATAAAGCTTAAACAATGAGGAGAGGCTAGCTATGAAAGAGCTATGAAAGTAGTTATTAGAGATGGAATTTGCTCCTGGTGAAGATGTTGTGAACACTGGTGAAATGACAATAAAGAATATTACAGAAATTTAGTTGATAAAGCAGTGGCAGGGTTTGAGAGGAGGGACTTTAACTTTAAAACAAGTTCTTCTGTGAGTCAAATAGTAATGAAAAAGCCTTTCATGCTACAGAGGAATTCTTTGTGAAAGGCAGAGTCAATCCATGTGAAAACTTCATTGGTCTCATTTTAAGAAATTACCACAGTAATTCCAACCTTCAGCTACCACCAGCCTGAGTAATCAGCAGCCATTAGCATCAAGGTGAGAGCTTCCACCAACAAAAAGATTAGGACTAGCTGAAGGCTTGGATGATCATTCGAATTTTTTAACAATAAAATATTTTAATTAATATTTCATTTAGCAATTAAGCATTTTTAATTAAGGTATGTACTTTTTTAGAAATAAATACTATTACACACAATAGACTACAGTATAAGCATTACCTTTATATATACTAGGTTACCAAAAATTTCATACGACTTGCTTTATTGCAAGATTCATTTTATTGAGGTGATCAGGAAGTAAACCAGCAATTCTCTGAGGTATGCCTGTACTCACAGAAGGGCACATCATATGGAAATATTTACTTACTGATAAGTGAGGAGATTCTGATACATTTTTTTCAATCAATCTTGGATGTGTTACGATATCAAATAACAAAGTGTGCCTATATGTGACCTTCATTAGCAATTATAATTTTTATGTTCCCATTAAAATCCTTCAGCAAGTAATAGAGTTGCCCTGTGAAGCATTGTTAATTAGATTTTAAAGATGGTTATACATTAGGTCTTCTAAAAACCATTGGTGTTATATCTAAAGAAAGAGTATGCTGGTCAGCATTTTTAAAGCAAGTATTCTATGCCTGCAATGCTAACTGACCACCTACTGGGGAACAGATACTGTTTCTCATCTTCTCTCCATTCTAACTTACAAACAAACCCTTTATTTATGTAGGAAAAAAAAAAGGCTAAAATAAACATTAAAGCAAACAATAGAAGCAACATATAAAGAAGTATTATGCAGCCTGATGGAGAACAGAGACATAGATTCTGTGATGACACGGTTTGGTCTTTTTTTCAGTCCATTTTCTCCTTCATCTGCCCCTCTCTGTCACTACCTAGTAAGACTGTCCTAACTTGCTACTCCTAACAATAGAAATGACAGTCTTGATGTCTATCTCTTATAAATGGATTTTTTTTTTCTAAATCATATCCTGTTGTTCTAATATTTGTTTTTTAACTCCAAAATAAAAAAAAAAATTTTGATGTTGAAAGAATAAGCAGTTTTCATTCTTCCATATTTTTTACCACATAGATGTCTAACACAAGATATTTATGTAAAAATAATTAAATACTAATTTTTAGCATAACCCTTTTACCCATCAAGCTTAGTAACTGAAAGAAACTTTTGTTTTTACTTAAAATTTTTCTGTTCTCAAAAGCACTTCCACAGGAAGATTGTAAATGGGTCATGCTTCTTATTTGAGAGTAGGGTACTGAAAAAAATATCAACTAAGATTTGTTGAGCATTTACATTGTTTCAGGTACTGTTCTAAGCATTTAAATTTATTTGCTGCCTGTAATAATTTTATAACACAGATACTATAATTATTTCCATGTTACTGAAAAGGAAACTGAGCCATAGATAATTTATGTAAATTACTGAAGGATTCTCACTCATTATGATAAGACTACTTCACAAATAATAAAATACAAAGGAGGTTATATAGAAATAAGAGGACAAATAAATACCTTGTGTCAAAATGGGGGAAATGTATGTTTAAAAAACATATTAGTGATACTGAATTAAGACACAAGCAAGATTCTAGAATGAGTGAAAAGGTGGATCCTCATTACCTAAGAATGAAAATGGAGTAAGTCACAAAGTATATCAAATGAATATAACTAGAATATCAAGAAAACACAGGAGTGAAGATTCAACTACACTCTTCATAATTTGACAAAGTTAATCTTGATATCTATTTATTCATCTATCTGTTTATCTATCTATGTAAGTAGAATGCAGAAATAAAAGCAGTAGTGATGATTCATTTAAGAGGACTGAAAGTTGTAGTCAATGAGCTGGACACAATGACTGTAACCAAAGGGGTTCCTGGGTAAGTTAATCTTCAACAGTGATTTCTAGAGGCTTTCGGCAAACTTCTTTTACTTATACTGATCACTTTAATATTAATTATTCAGTTGCAGAAATCAAAGGCATAAAAGTAAAAGCTGAAATTCACATAGAACTAGAAGCTCAAATAAAATGAATGTCAGAATGAATTTTGTAAAGAATTAGTTAAATGCCAACCAGGAATAAAGGGCTGATGCTAATAAAATGTAAGGGAAACATAAAATACCCTTAAAAAGGTGTTTTGTTCATGTGTAAAAGTTGTATAGTCACTGAAAATCCATGTAAATTGAATAAAATTGGCTGGATTCAAAGGGAACAAGCCTTCTGATCATAGTGTCAAAAGAAAAAATGCACAGTGCCCTGAGAAGATAGCCAAAATATTCTTTTCTGTTTTTAGTAGCTTATTTTTGAGCTGGAGTCTCACTTTGTTGCCAGGATGGAAGTGCAGTGGCAGGACCTTGGCTCACTGCAACCTCCGCCTACTGGGCTCAAGCGATTCTCCTGCCTCAGCCTCCACAGCAGCTGGGATCAAAGACACGTGCCACCACACCCAGCTAATTTTTGTATTTTTAGTAGAGATGGGGTTTCACCATGTTGGCTAGGATGGTTGCAATCTCTTGACCTCATGATCCACCTGCCTTGGCCTCCCAAAGT